TGGCTGTGTTCTGGGTTGTAGTGCCGTGTAGTCTGGTAGAAGTTTACCAACGTTTCAGAGGTCCTTGCCGCCTCCATCATCAGGGCGAAGAGTTCACTGATCAGCCAGGAACTTCTGCCAGACTACATGGCGTTACAACCCAGAGGACAGCCATCTTAAAATTATGGTAATTTTTGCCTGCATTTGTATTGAACAGAAATTTTTGAAAATGTAAAATGTGAATGCAAACAATATTGTTTGCCTTATGTGTACTGTATCCAAGTGGCAGTCAGATGCCGTGTGAGGTTTGATGTCCTCACAGCAACTCGAACTGTTTGCAGGAGGGGCATTTGCGAAAATACCCAAGAAAATAAAGCTGGTGGAATTTGTAACTGGAGCCCTACTGTGTCGAGAGCAAAAGATGAGGACGCTACGAATAACTTTTTCATTTGCGAGACAGCAGTAGCCTGAGAAAGCTCGAAATGTTATGTCTGACGTTTGATTGCTATCGTCTGAACCCGCCCGGGCCCATGCCGACCTCTTTCATGTTGATCAGTACTGTACCCCAAGGCTTTCCAAGTTTGTTGTGGGTTGACATTGTATGTAGGCCAACTTTCCTTACCACTTTGTCAAAATCTCGTTCACTTTCCATCTCGTCTGATGTGATTCGTGTGTTGTATCAGTTTGTGTTTTGATTTCCCTTCATGCTGATGTCTTCAACATAGGTACAGCTCTCTACATGTGAGATCTGAGGCGGCGAAGTTATCTTATCGCTCTTGGTCGTGTGGATTGTAACGCCGTTACCGGAAAACACACGTCACAACTCAGAAGACCATCACTGACGACTTTGCAGTTGTTTTGCCTTTGCGTTTGCTGTTTTGAACCGTATAAAGTGTGCCATTTTGAGAAACCGCAAATTTATAAATGTATGAACTCGCGAGGTTTAAACCCGGTGTTGAAGTGTTGATTCCTTGCAGTTCAGCCTGCGGATCTACAGATCAGCTCGGGGCTCAGGCACAAGAAGTGCGCAAAAGGTAGGCCAACCTGAATTTCGACAGTGTGTCAGTTTTGCTTGTCTCTCTTTACATTAGTCTGTATATTCGAATGTGTTGTTGTCATTGGAAACTTGACTTTTGATTTTGTTGCTTCGTTGTTGGTTTATTGTGCAGTCAGCACGCGATTAAAGCATGTTTGTGGAATGTGTACTTGAAGGAACGGTATTGAAGTGTAGTTCGGATGTTATTCCTGTGTGAAGAGACGGGCAGATGTCGACGTAATAAATAGTTTCGTTAATAAGTCGCTTTTTGTGTGAATTACATTTGGTGTTCTTTTTACGTTTATTTTTGGTCAGTTTGACACTCATCGGCGACTTTTCACCGGACAGCGAGTGCACGCATGAATTTGTTGTATGGCACCGTTCGTGCTTTTGCTGGGATGTGGGACTCGAGGTTTTTCACGGTAGTGAAAATTGGATTGTGGTCTTCTGGGTTATAACGTCAAATGGTCTTGTATGTGGTTGGGTACCAGCATATCGGTGATAATTGGTCATCTGCATTTACGCTAAAGATGAAGGCGATTAGTTCATCCGGAACGTTGGTAAAAACCAACAATACTGCATGACTTCGTAACACAGAACACCACATCCATGTTTTCAACGCGTTTTCCGTTCGAAGGAGAAGGCTCAAACATTCTTGTGCTCTGAAAGTAACCCTTTTGTCTAATAATTTATTCAGTCACGAGAGGAAAACGTCAGACTGTAAGACTTAATAGCAAATTAGAATTGAAAATCACAAACAGATTGGGGGGGGGGTGTTTTGTATTGGCTTACACAGAATAATTGAGAAAGCTAACGGAAATTAACAACTCGCCAAATGCTGCCTGTAAACGTACATTTCACCCTGAAGATGTCACTGCATGAAAACAATGCGAGGCACTCAAAAATTGTTTCAAAATACGAGGAAAAACACTTTTCGTGAGGCCACAGGAGTCAGCTGCTTTGATTGCATTGTTATTGCAATGTTTTGGTCTACCTACCCGACGGTTCAAGTCTGAAAATAGTAACAGCTCTGAAAGAAGATTCTAACACACGTGATACCGTGAACAGCAAGTAACTGCAATGAAACACATTTTTGTCGGGCTGTCGACGTTGTACGGCCAATCTCTTTCAGTTCAGGTTACAAGTTTCGTTGTTGTTTTTCTTTCTTTCGATTTTTGGCCCTTTTCTACACCACGGGCCGGACGATCGGTGTTTGATACCCGGAGGGGGCAAGAATTTGTTTTTCTTTGTTACCACGTCCAGACCGGATTTGTGGTCCGCACAGTTTTCAGTTCAGTGGGTGTGCCCTAGGTTCTTTCCTCGGGATAAAGCAGCCGAGGCGTGAAGCTGACCACTCACCATCAAGGGTCGAGATTAAGAATGCGTGGAGTTACACCTCCATTACTTACATGTCTCAATGGCGTGATGCTTAATAATTCACAGCGACAACTTAAGCTTTACTTCTGCGTCGTCGTTGGTATGCTGAATTTTGCTTCGTAAAACCAACCGTTTACACGGATTATTTATGCCAGTGTTTCGTGTTGCTACGTTACTCGTCCAACGCGGCGGATGTATATCCCTGGAAAGCGACGCTTCCGGTTATGCTGTATGAGAACACGGCCGTGGGATAGCAAAATAACAGAGTCACAAATATACTGGAATATTATTTATTTATGAACAAACTACATATTATTATTAAGTACCGTCGGGAAATTACGCATTTTAAGTGAAATATCGACGGAAAGTTAGACCTTAAGATTTCAGCCCAAAGGCATCAAACACTATCATACCGGATGTAGATGTTGATACGGTATTTTTTTTTTAATGTGTGATTTAAGCTTTTTAAACACTGATGGTGTTTTTTTCGTATGGTACTACAGCGTGTTTGGCAGACCGCGTATAATCGGCCCCGCTTTGGAAAAAATCTGATTTTAAGGAAAATGTGATTAATAAGATTTAGTGTTACAGCGTAAAATTGTCAGTTTTCCCCGCCATCAGTTCAGTAGCAAGTGCCCAGACACTGGCTATCCTGACTGAATGTTTTGTCTCCTCAGTCCCTCCCTTCAGACGCTGGGTTATTTACCTTAATATAGGTCACCACGTATATCTTCCACATCCTTTCTAATTTTAACGTGCAATCGATAAAGTGTCGTTAAATAAGCCAAAGAGTCAGATCTTTTGTACCAAAACTGTTCCTGCATATGATATTGCTGATAGGATTCGTTTTTCAGTTACGTCTAAGAAGTTCTGCTTCTTATTTTAATAGGGGTTTAGAAAACTGCGGTAGAGTAGACCGTGGCCTGAACCCTTCTTTTTCCCGCTGTAATTAAGAGGGGACTTGTCCCCCCCCCCAAATCTGTAACATTTTAGATTTTGAACATCGTGATACAAACATTAATTAAAAACACATTAAATCTTGGGAATGCTTAGTTCCGTTCTGTTCAAAATCGTAAATCTCCGATCTGTCTAAAACATGAGGACTAAAGTAAATGATTTACCTGTTGTCAGTGGCGGACTTAACGCAAGCTCTAACTCAGGGCTTCACGATGTGAGGGTTGTCAGAAAGTTTTATGTTTATTTTTTAATGTTCTCTTCTGTCAGAATAATGAATATATATTTGCTTAGGGCCCTACATGTTCTGTTGTGTGGGCGTGAAACTCAAGCTTTGAGGAAGGAATATCGATTAAGGAAGAATAATTGTATCTAAGAACAAGGAAGGAACAGGATGGTAAAGAAAATTGGATTATGAAGAGCTGCATAATTTGTACTCTTCACCACATGTGAGGGTGATGACATCTAGGGTAATCGGGGCATAGGAACCCAACGTCGTGGCCGGATAATAACACCATGGTTTCGTATTTGGGATGTCCCGGGTTCAAATCTCGGTCCGGAGTCCTGCTGTCCTGACTTTCTTGATTTTCCTCAGTCCTTTCGTACAAATGCCGGGGTGCTACTTTAAATTAAGCCCTGGCCGCTTCCTTCAATATTACTTTCAATTAATTATTTATTAATTATTGTACCATTTAACGCTACATAGTCCTAGCTACTGAGATCAACAGTTAAATGAATCATAAATAAATGAATGGCACCCAAAGGGGAAGATGAGAATTTACCTGAAACCTAGAAGGAAAGAGACTGCTTTGGAAATCTAGGTTTGGATGTGAGGACAGTGTTAAAGTGTTTAAATAAATCTGGTGTGAGTGTGTACTGGATTGAACTGTTTCAAGATTGGGTCCAGTGGTGAGCAGTTATGGTCATGGTAATGATTCTTGTTCTTCTGAAAGTTCATGGAATTCAGCTACTGAAGAAGGAATCTCTCCAAGGAATTGGTTACGCTGGCAGGCGGTCTGTATTGATTAAAGGAGCCAGTTGTGGTGTGGATAATTTCTGTTTTAGACTGACATAAAGAAACTTCATGTCCCCACACACAGTTTTGTAGAGTGGCTGATGAAAACAAAGTCACGGAAACCATTAATTACAATTAAGCCAATTCAGCAGTTTCACATATTATTCATATGAAAGGTAGATTTACCCGTTTGTGAGGATGAATTGATTGTAATTCAGCAATCATCTCTCAGAATTGGTACGTGCCAGGATTGCTTTATTCTCGCTCTGCCATTTATAATTTTAATAAGCATTTAATTGTATATGTAACCAGTGGAACTGTTGAAGAATAAACTCATTAGTTTTATAAGAAATAATTGACAGTGTGGCAGTATATCATTTCCTGGTGGGGAAATAAGGTGGCAGTCGGGGAGTGGCCGGAACATGTTATCACTCAAGGCGACGAGAAAGTCTGCATGAGACTGATAACAATACACAAGCTTCTGGTAAGACTATTATACATTCTTCTGGGAAGTTTCAGTGACACCTGGTGATGTGTCATGCTTCCACCACAATCTTTTAGTACCTGGGGGTTTCCATATGACTTCAAGTCCTAGTTCCTGCTGCGGATTGGTGGTGATGTGAACATGGAAGAGAACTATGAAAATGTATTTTGGAATATTAGGGAAGATTGGAAGGAATACTGGGCATGGTAGGTGACTATGAAAATACTGTGAATTGTTTTATGGAGTGAAATATGTATTAACCAATATGTTGTGTGATATTTGTTGAGGCATCGTGATCATGATACCATTTTTTTATGCATTATTTGCAGAGGTTATGTCTACTTTTTTTCTTTACCAGATCTTGTACAATGGATAAATGTGAGTGCTGGAAATGTACTGGGCCAGATCTCTGATTCCTGCTTTATGCTGAAACAGATCTTTATTGAATTTCTCAAAAACAAGTCATACAGAATATGACATAAAATAAGACCTCATTAAAAATTGTAACCTTTGAGATATTTTGTGGTGTGCTGTAGGAGTATATTTATTGTTGATTAACCGTGTGCACGGTTCTTTTTATGATGTTTGTATGTTGGTTTGCTCAGTTACTATTCAGTTTATAACCGCATTAATCAAACATTAAAATAGGCTACAGATGCCAGATTGCAAAGAATGCATTTGGAATATATGTGCACCCCTATTTTGAGTACGCCTTTCCAGCTTTATTCAAAAGGTGATGGATAGACATTTTTGTGATCTGTAGTTTAGTTTAAAATAATAAATTCCAACTTGTAAATAACTTTTTAAACAAGCTTCATAGAATGCAAACTACCAGACTGCTTTCAATGAAGTGTCGTGTTTTGTGTTTTGTTAATTCCATATAATTTTTATGTAAGATTTGTATGTGTTTTTTTACATCATCAAATTCCGACCTGGAGAGTCGGAGCAGTGAATTTGGATAATTTCTGCCCGAAACAGATGAGGTCCTCACAGTAACCACAAGTTCTGTCTACCTGAGAGGTTACATTTGTCTGCCTTCTATACGAGACTTAAAATTATGCCTAAATGTATGAGAAGAGGCAAAATCTTTATAAATAAAATCATTTTGTTCTGTGTTCTCTATTTCGCCATTTCAGGACTGGTTGGTATGCAGCCACAACTAGCTTGTTTAGTGCGTACAGTGGTCACTGCAAGGGCATGGCAGTAAATAATAGAACAGAATTGTGAATTCATAAGACATAATAAGTAATGTAATTATTTCAGTAAAGTTTATTTTAAGAAACTCCTGTGTGTGGGAAGACTGGCATGTTCTCTAGTTGAGGTTTAAAAGGAAATGAGTTTAAGAATTAGACAGAATGAGTAACGACAGTACCGAAAGGTGTAATGAAGTATAATCCAAAAGTACAGATTTGGGAAGGCGAAGAATGAAATGGTGAGAGGTCAGAACAAGTTTCTAAAGCCGTCATTCATTGAATTAATACAGAAATGAATATGCAAAGATAAGTATTTGACTTTCTTGAAAACATTTTAGTTAAGTTTAATGTAAAAAAAAATAAACCAGTAATGTTTATGCAAAGTTACTGAGATGTAATTTTATTCATTATCAGCTTTCTTAATCTTTTTTAGATGTTTTTGGAATTATTGTGTTTTCTTACTTATTCTTTGGTTTTAACCATAAATGATCCTTCCTGGTTCCTTCTTATATTCTGGCATTCAGAAAATAAAGCTTTAGCTCAAAAATGGCTGTCTTCTGGGATGCTATGCCATGTAGTCTTGCAGAGATTGACTGATGTTTCAGAGGTGCTTACTGCTTCCATTTTCAGGCCCCCCTGATGTGAGATATTGGTCAATTTCTGTAGACTACACAGTGCAACATCATAGAAGACACATCTTAATACTTGCCATACTGAGAACCTGAAATCTCACCAAGTTCTATCTCCTCTTTTGAACTTAAATTTAAAACTAAGAAAAATGTAATTTTGAAAGTGCGTTTGTTGGTTTGTCACATGGACCCCAGAGGGGATCCTTTGTCATACTTGGCCCCAAATTCAGGAAATTGTGTTCCAGTCTGGTATTGGACTGGGCGCAGTGATTTTGAAAGTCAGAGCATGTATTGGATCTAGTAAAATGCCATATGATGAGGACCACCGCAATTTGTATGAGATTTCAGTTTTTCACTCTGGAAATGGAGATGATAGGTTCCTCTGAAAAATTGGCAACCACCTATAAAAATACTACTACAGTATCATAATCCAAAACGCCACAAATAATTATGATTTGTACTCTTCACCAAATATTCATGGGGTGATCAAATCTGTAAGGTTGAGATGGGTAAGGCAGGTAGCATACATAGGAGAGATGGTAAATGCACACTGAATTTTGATCAGATAATCTCTAGGGAAGGAACCACTTGAGAGATCTTTTTGTATATGTTAGGATAATATTAAGCTAGATATTTAGTAAGTAGATTGTCAGTGTGAACTGAATTAATCTGTCTCTGGATTTGGTTTTATGATGGGCTGTTCTGAATACAATAATGAATAAATCTTTGGTGTCTGTGAAAGGTGGGGAGTTTTATTTAGTAGAAGCACCTTACAATCTGGCATTAAATGCCACGTTCAGAAAGAATTTCAAGGGACTTACATGTTTAGGTTCAGAAATATTTGTACATGTGTCTTTTTACATTAATGTGTTTATTTGAAATCTTTCACATACTGTGAAATTATGCATACTGAAAAATTATTATAATTGCTTCCAGTTATGCATGCTTTTGTGTGCAACTATTTGTTAGAAGTTATTTATTGATGGAGTAATATGTGTACTGTAACATTAATTGTTACAGAATATTTATCTGGTATGTGTACTTTGTGTGGATTCCATATTTTGCATGAATTCATAAGAGTGAGCTTATGCATGTTTAATATGTGCTTAGAGATATAAAAAGACAGATTACATCATTTTTGATAAATAGTAATGAAGAAATCCCAATTCACAGTTAATAAGTATCCCAACATTGTGGATCAAGTTTTCTTGCCTGATGAAGTCTTTGCATTTCTGGGTTGATGTGTGTCAGTGATGCATGTCATTTCATTCTGTGAAACAACTCTACTTTACCTTTACACAAATACTGCTTAATGTTTTTAATTATTTCAATACTTTGTTAGCAATTACAGATATTTCATTTTGAATATCACAATCTGATTATTTTGGAATCCATTTCTAATTGTTCTTGGTGTGTGCTTTTTTATAGACGTTCAGAAACATATAGTTGATTAATAAAACAGTGTGCAGTTTTAATGAGTTTTTTTGTGAACACGACACAGACGATATTGGGACTGGAACTTGCTAACATGGTCTTTACATCAACGCTAGTCCTGTACCCTACAAACTTGTCTGTGAAGGAATATGGGCAACCAAGCAGAGTACAGCTTTCATTCCATTTTGCAACTGGGCTTGGTCACACATTTCAGAAAAGTCATAAACATTAATTCATGTTTTTCTTCAAATTAAGCAGACATCTGGCAAAAATTATTATTAATAGAAGGTAGAGAAAAGCCGCATATGGACAGATACATGGAGATTATGAATGACTGGAGTTATGATGCCATATGTATGCTTACACCACTTTCACTTTGAGACTTAGAAAATGTTATGTGCTTGATTTTTGTTGCACAGTGTGTACCAAAATAGAAAAGTAAGGGGGAGAAATAAAATGGAACCTTTTCATTGTGTAGCAGTAGACTGTCACCAGAAGCCACATCGTGGAAAATTTTGGGGAATGCACAAACAAGATTCCTCCAACATTAGAATTTAAAACATGTCTGACACTATGGGTAACTTAATACAAAGGGAAATAACATCTGAATGGAGTGGTTTTGTGATGTGCTAGAATATTGAATTCTTGCCACAGAAAGTTTCTAACTATTCTAACATGGTTTTAGATTACTATACCGAACATCTAGAATGTAAGCGGTACTTTTAAGGGAAAATAAATAACATTGGCGTGTTTTTAAAAGTGGATTGCTTTCCAGAAAATATCATAGATATTCTGAAATAACTTGCACAATTGCTCTATTTATCATTGTTGACAAAGAGCTTGAAATGAACATTCTTATGTTAGATAAGTAACATTGATCAGCCGTGATGTATCGTATGTTGCTTATTGTTATGTTGTAGTGAGCAGAGCATCGCATCGGCGCGGGCGTCTGTAATGGTTTATGATGATTTAAACAAAAAGTGGATTCCAAGTGGCACCTCTTCAGGGTTATCCAAAGTTCACATCTACCAGCACCAAGTGAACAACACGTTCAGGGTAGTTGGTCGCAAACTGCAGGATCATGAGGTGCGGTGTACTTCAGAAATTTTAGTGATTTTTTTTAGGAGAATCTGCTTGAATTTTGCTTAGTAAAAGTGTATGTCGTACCTTAAATATTATAACACGTAAGATATGTTTGAAATGTTTTTTGTTTTTCATTGGTTGGGATAGACATTTTTTTAATTTTAAAATATTTATTATACAATGGTTACTGAAGCTGTTGTAACCTTCAAGTATGACACGTGTGCTCCCTCACTTGACATGCTATTTGTTGCATGTAAAAATCTGAAATGCTGGTTGTGTTAGATATGAATCACCTTCACATAGTTTTTTAACAATAGATGTAATCAACATTGACATATCAGTATTTTGATCTGCGTACTACTTTGTAACAGATATTTTTAAAGAAACCTTCTCAGTGCATCTGCCATATGAATACATTTCAGTGCAAATGAACTTTTTAGATCATAATATTAGACATATACTTCAATTATCATTCACAAAATACGTTGCTGATGTTTGGTAAAATATTTGTTTTCTAAGCAAGCGGTAGGGAGATGTTTGAATGAAGGAAGGAAAAATTAATACTCTGTTGAATTCTGTATTAGAAACATAACACGTGTTGTATCAGAAAAATTATTTATGCATTCTTTAGGAGGAAGTTTTGTCTGTCGTAGGATTTGAAGCTCTCACAGTGGCCGATATGAAGATGTCTGTTTTCCGGGCTCTAATACTGTAGTCTGGTAAAAGATTAATGTTTCAGATGTATTTCATGTCATCAGGGCAATGGATATACCTCTGAAATGGTAAATATCTACCAGTCTGCATAGCGTTACAGCCCAGAAGATGGGCAACGTCAATTTTATGTTGTCCAACTGAATGTTTTTATCTATAAAATTTAATTGTTGTGATGTGCTCTGAACATTGTGACCTGAATTGAACATTCTGGTGTGGTGTTCCTGACTTTGATTCTCTTGGTACTGTTGTGCGGAGAATTACTTTGTTTTCACGACAAAATATTATTGTTAGACAATTTACGTACTGATTAAATGACTGACAAATAAATTAATTTCATGTGTACTACTTAAAAATCATGCTACACTAATTGAAAACCATATTTAAGAGGTCAAGCGGTTGTGTGTGTGTGTGTGTGTGTGTGTGTGTGTGTTTTTTTAACAGTTATTTGACTGTATCACTTTATTGAGCGTCATAATTTTCCTGTTGCAGGAGAGTTCATGCTGTTAACAAGTTTAATTACTGGGGTTAATTGGTTCTTTGTTTGTAAACTTTTTCTTGCAATATTAATTTGATACTTTCAGAATTTAAATTTGTCTGATTGTCAGTGTATATAAATAGTTCAGCATCGTCATGAACATGATTGATGTATTGATGATAATCTATTAGTTAACAATATGTCACATTATAGGTGGTGATTAACTGTGCTATCTTGAAAGGACTAAAGTATAATCAAGCAACGGCCACATTCCACCAATGGCGTGATAACAAACAGGTGTATGGACTCAACTTTAGCAGTAAGGAGGATGCCGACTCCTTTGCTCGTGCCATGTTCCATGCTCTAGATGTGAGTATTGTCATTTATGAGTTGAACATTAAATTATCTTTCATAACCGTTGATATTTGTGCTGTCAAATCAAGGAAGATATTTTATGAATGAATAATCTAAGCAGTGTTATTGAAAATTTGTGTGAAACGTGAAAATTCTGCACCTAAATATTTTGCGAATAAGATGCTTAATTGAGGAAATACATTTTAATACTTATGATCTTCAGACTCATCTTGTAGCTGACTATGTATAGACTTGTGCAGACCTTTAGTGACTGTTGAATGGGGGATTGTTCTTTTGAAAATCAGTTGCTGAACTGTCGGTGTTGGTCTTCTGGGTTGTTATACCATGTGGACTTCTAGGTAGATATTAGTGTTTTGGGGGAACATGATGCTTCCATGTTCATCATGTTCTGGGCTAGCCATACCTATAAGTCCACATTGTTACAATCCAGAAGGCCAACATCAACATCTTCACTGCCACGAGAACCTCAAATCTAAATCATAGAGCTGCTGATATTTTTGCAGATTTTATGTATGTCTTGAGTATTTGAAATCTAACGATGCAGAACTTGGAAAATGATTTATGGTTTCGATGATAAGTTATAGAATTTAATTTATTGTGTTATCACAGTATAAATTTGTTCTGATATACTCATAACAGGTAACAAGGTTTAAAATACATATTTTCTCAATTATCTGTTCAGTTTACTGTTGTCACTTTCATTATGATAAGTGCAGTTTATGTATTGCCTTGAAAGCACTACAGAGCTACCCCAGGTGGTTGCTGGTCAGTATGTGAAGAGCTAACAGATGTCCGTAGTTAGGTTCTTTTATATGCAGGTGCTGAGCAATTCCATCTCTCGGTCAGTGGGGCAGCCACCCATGGCACCTGTCACTCAGCCTGTGTACCAGCCCACAAATAATGGACAATATGAAGAAGACATGGGATACAGGTAACAGCTGAAAAGTGAATGAGCTCTCCATTTTCCTTTTTGATTGCACATACAAGTACGTCTTTAATGAAATGAGAAGCCATAACTTGGCCATCTGCACAGAATAGGAAGAGGTCTCAAGGTTTTTGCGAGTAAACTTCAGAAATATCAGCCAAATGAAATTTCAGTCAACTCATAGATTTAACTTGATACTGGGTCCTCATGAGGGTGTAGCCTCCAGCTATAATTGCAGATATAAAGTGGATAGACCAACCACTTTCATAAGTTATTGGCTATTTATTTTATATTGCCAATAATTGTGGTAAAAATGATTAGTCTATTCAACTTTTGTGCTGTAATACTACACAGAATGAAGGTTTTTAATTAAGATGATTACATTTTCTTTGAAGTATAAGATTACATAAGGTTAGATCACATCATGAGGGAAATAATGAAAATGTAATAAGGGACAGAAGTAGAGAACTGGCTCTCCTTATAATAGTGATGACAGTTTGAGTTTGTATTATGTATTGTTGCTCATCCTTGCAAGATGTTTCCATTCCGGTGTGTCAACTTACAACCAAGCTTCTCCATCTGTCTGGCTTTCCATAACACCTTATCAGTTTGCTATGGTCTTTTTTCCCCTTTATGTGACATCTTTCCTAATCTGTTGTTCCCATCTTGATCTTGGTCACCCTGTTGTGCATTTTCCTCTTACATGTTCAAACCCTTTGAAATTCTCTCCTGATTTGTTCTTAGAATATGTCCATTCCATCTCATTCTGTTATATGTTAGTTTGCCTTCCAGTGTGTTTGACTTTAGATTCTGTCTTTTGGTTTTTTCTCTTTACTTCTTAAAAATCATATTTTATGCTATTAATATCTGTCTTTGTTCAAGTTTATGCTTCATGTGTTAATGTTGGCATATGGTAATTTCTAAGTACTCATATTTTCCCCCTAGACAGTTCCCATTTCCATGTTATGTCCCCTCACTACTTCATAGAATTTTTTAATCTGTCATATAAACATTTTTTATATATAAAAATATTCTTCATTGTTATTTATTAGTGTCATTTGACAATTTTATGGTTGTAATTCCTTTTTAATACGGTATGTTTGAGTCTGACATTTTCTTAATTAGCATGTTTACAGTGTGTTGAATGATCCATTTTAAATTAATGACGCTTATAAGCGAATATGATTTTTTTCATATGAAGGATAATATTGTTGCATTTTATATGTTTTGCCGTCCACCAGTTCTGCCTTCAGCTTCCACCCACTTACAGTCATGCCTCCTGCTACAGGATACGAGATAACTGACAGATATTTTAATAAAACTGATTAACACAAGAGAAACATCTGTGCCCAAGATGAGAAGCATGGAATTGTTAATGTCCGAAATATTTTTCATGGCCTTGCTCTTTTTTAATGTGTGTATGAATTACAGTACAAATCAATCTATGAGGATGAGCCACGCCAGATCATTACAGGTCTAATAGAACCTGTCTGGTGGGCTCAAGTGATTTACTGTCTGTCCAGTGAAGGGTTGAATCAGAGTAGTTGCTTTCTGTGCAGTGTGACATATTATGTGTCTTATCTTTGTCAGTCTGCAACATTTGCTTTATGTAACATCATGGATTTTAATACTATGGGCAGGTATCATCCATCATTCAAACTGGTTGAGATTAGATTTTACAGATTCCAATTCATCCCCACTTCTACAAACTTGCAAAATAATCTTGTTTGATATATGTTTCTTGTGAGGAGTAGGGCTGGTATGTTTGTTGAGGGTGGGGTGGTTTGCACTCTTGTTACTGGCTTGCAGTCAGATGGTGACATTGCCGAGAGTTGCGTTGTATCACCAGGTGCCCTCAGCTGCCCCAGCCCCATCACGGATACCACATTCAGAGGTTGGCCCCAGTGGACCAGCAAGGTACGACTTGGGCGCTGTTGACGTGGTATTTCGACTGTGGTGATGTGGAATTTAAACTGGGCTTGGTTATGCTGGCAAAATATAAGTAAAATATTAATTTGGACAAGCAGGACTGAACATTTGGCACCTCCTTTGCTTCGGGTTTTAGCAGTCCTCACTAATGCAGTATTTGGGGTTAAGTTGACTGCAAGCTTCCTTCTTCCCCCTCTTGTAATAACAATAATACATCAGCGCTTCAAAGTAGGCTTGAAGCATGTGTGGCAAACTGGTCTGTAAAGTTAATCCTCAGACAAACTTGCTTCAGTTATGCAGTAGGTTATGATAGCTTCCATCTCAGCCTTCACCACTTGCAGTTCATCATTCTTCTAGTAAGGCAGTGGCAATTTATGTTTCCTGGTTGGTGAACTTTTTGTTCATCTCTTGTTAACCCATTGGGTCAGCAGCACTTAACACATTGACCTGACTTTTTTGTGCTTTTCTTGCAAAGCTTTGATAATCTGTGTAAGACTGATGCATGCGTCTTGTACTTGTTGCTTTCACCAGTCTTCTGACAAAAATATGTTACATGTTGGATCACTGTCAGTTGCTGCATTGTCTGGTGCCTAGATCACCAGCTTCACTGTTTATCTGCATCATAGACATTATAGAATTTTGGTTTTATGGTATATGCAGCATTACATTTGCAGGTACTCTTATAATATTATTGTCATGCTTATGATACATTTTGAGGTTTTGATTATATGGTTGCACTATGAAGGTTTACAGGTAATAAATGGTGATAGGAAATAGGGTTGTGGTTGTGTTTGCATTGGCTGAAATCGTAGGTGCCAGGTTGCAGTGGCACCTAAAATTTTTGTGGTAGTGTTTAGAATTATCTGTGTACTATCATGATGGTTTTAAATTTTTGAATTTTAATTTTATTTGTAGTTCTGATTCCATCATGTAGGTGACATATTCAGATTTAGCAAATAAATTTATATTAATGTTATTTCCATCTCTGTTGGCTCCTATTTTCTGGAGGAGTTTATATGAATTTTGTGAGGCTTCCAATAACAGTGTATTTTTTTATGTTTATTTTTTGTTATTTGTCTCCTAGTACTTGCAGCATATGTGTAAAATATTCCAGTGTCGTTGTGTCTTGGCAAGTGTAATCATACCTTCAAGTTATTTTCATTTACATTTTAAAAGAAAGGTCTGAAACATTCTCGTTATTTTAATTTGTGTGAGTATTAAAGAAAGTGATTTCTTCCTTTTGTCTTATAAAGAACAATAATGAACTTGTAATGGATGGCAGAGGTGAACACTTGATTTAAGCTTAGGTGTTACTTTAAAAGTGTGTTAATATTGATACTTGAGCTCTATCATACCAAAATGGTAAAAGCTACCTCAGTCTTCACAATCAAAAAAGTAAAGTAAACCTGTCCCATTATATGTCATGTAGGCGCTTGGAGGGAGGAGGTACAGCTCCTACTTATTCTTGACCTCAGCCCTAGATGGGGGTAAGTGGTCAGCGTCATGCCTTGGCTGCCCTTTACCCCCTAGGAAAGGGCCCCAGTACCCATTGGATAGGAGGCTGGATGGGCTCCAGAACCGGTCTGGATGCAGAGGCTAGGGAAAAAATCCTCTGTCGCCATCAGGGATCAAACCTCTTGTTTGTCTAGTCCGTAGCTAGTCACTATACTGACTGAGCTACGCCGGCTCATCTTCACTAACAATCTTAAAGAAAAATGCAGTTTGTTTTTCCAAAATACTGATCATTTTTACCATTTGAACACTGTTCTAAACACTGAATACTGTATGCAGTGATTGATAAAATTATGTTTATGTCAAAATTGTGTTAATCATTAAATAACACTTGAACTGACATACAAATTACTTTTTCGCAAGTCCATCAGAGTGAGATGCACGCTTCTTCTGTCTGCTTTTGCCTGTAGAAGTAGTTTTTATTTAATGACATACTTTCATCTCTGTTAGAATGTTGAGTATTTTCTAGAAGTACTAAGTGTCTGCAAGTACTCTTGAAGATGTATGTTCATTTCTTCCGTCGTCATTGTTGGGCTTATGTGTTTGTGCCAACTTATCATTCAACATTTTGTCCATACACTGCAAATCACATATGCTAATGACATTGTAACATGCTACATATTTTTTATATTACGCCCAGCTGCAATAGAAGCCAGGCACCTTACCTTCCATCATCTCCACATTTCTGAAAACTGTATACCTGATAGGAGATCAAAGTAAACTAAACTTTTTTGCCACCAGGCAGTTGTTTGTGGACCTAGGAGTATTCACTCCCATCCCCCAAAGATTTAAGCCTGTTTTTATGTTGCCAGTATTATTTAAGTCAAACTCATAAAGCGCAGTTCTGTGGGTGTTGCCGCTGAGTCTTACAGAGTTTTAGTTTTCAGTAGTCTGTTCCAGTTGCTAAGTTGAAACGTAAGCATTCCTTTCAGAGAGACAGTGATTTGTGAAAAACAATGTAAAGATTTAGTGTTGTAGTATGAGATAGATGAAATGAGTGGAAGGACGTAAAGAGTATGCAGTGGATAATTTTTTTTAGAGAGAAAGAATATTATTTTGAATGTGGGATTTGTTATTCTGGTTTTAAGGAAAGTATTTGAGTGACGATGAAGTTTCGACACTTTGCTATAGGCAGGTGAGTGAAGTTAACTGAGTGTACTTAGTTTTGTTGACAGGACTATGACACGGGAGGATGTCGCCATTATTCAGGAGCGCAGGATGTCACAGCAGCAGCAACCGCCACAGCAGCAACAGCAAAGTAAGATTTGTAGACAGACATTAAATGAGAAAGTAATTTATTATTAAATATATGTAGTCTAGAGAGACCAAAGCCCTCCCTGGGCTGTTGTGCAGAGGAAGAAGCAGAAGAAGAATAAGAATAAGAATATGCAGTCTACTTTTACATCAGTTTGTATCATAAACTGTGCATTTTGTTGCGAGTACATCGTCTTCAGGTTGTTATGATCCAGACATATTGAAAACTGGTCTCCATTCTTTTTGGATTATGCCATGTGGGTATATTGTGATCTATAGATGATCATATGTTACGTTAAAGCAATAGATTGAGTGTTGCCAACTTCAGTCAACAGATCAAAGAGTATATTTTTGTTATCACTGTTCACATTCTTGAATATATACACAGCTGCTGATGTGTATCTAATTTGTTGCTTTAGAAACGGTGTGTAATATATTCATAATGTACTCTTATTTTATCATTAGTGTGATTATTCTCAAGAATGGATAGATCATGGTCTTCTGGGCTCTTGTTCCATTTAGTATTTTGCAGTTTATTCTGAAGATGGAGGTGATATGTTCCTCTAAAAAGTTGGTATTCATGTAAAATACAACATGGCATAGTGGCCCATTCTCAAGCACATATTTGGTAAACATCAGTTTGGTGGTATTTTGTCGCCTTTTGTGTCTAATATTCTCTTTGTGTCTTGTTTTAGATATAAAACCTGGATGATACACAGTAATGTGTGTATATAATTTATTTTTTTAAGAATAATTTATGATTATATATACACATGGTATGACTTTCATAAATATCAAGAGAAACTTATACTGATTTTAAATTAAGAAGATGAGGCAATGAATGTATTCTGTCATACAGTTTTAGGAAGCCCAGGGAGCCCGTCACCAGGAGCTCCAGCACCTCCCGCCCCACCAGGCCACCATCGCGCCTCTTCAGCTCCTCCTGCCCCACAACCTCCACCAATGGCCTTGGCTCCCCCAACATCATCACCTCAAACAGCTATGCCACCCCCTGCACCCCCTGCCCCACCGTGTCCTCCTTGGCTTGGTGTCCTCCTCCTCCCCCACCTCCCCCTGCCCCCAACATGTCTCGGTCATGTAGTTCTGATGGGCAGGAACAGACCTCCTCGTTGGCAGCACAACTTCAGAGTGCCAAACTCCGCAGATCAAACAAGGTACGTATGTTTCTTCTGAATTTGTCCTAGTCAGCAGTTCTTATGAAAAACATTCACTCATTTGTTGTGTACAAGAATGGCATGTGTAAGGTACATTATTAGTCTTATATTTATTTTGTATTTCATTGGAATTTTAAAATGGCTGGTAGATTTTAGATACAGCCTGACTCTGTTAGATCATCACTCTTTGTCCACCACCGACACTGGTATTAAAGTGGGATGATTTTTTTTTGCAGCCATTTCTCATATAATATGTGTTTTTATAATGTGAATTGGTAATAACATTATTAATTTGTAAGAAAGCTATTTCCCTGGTACAGTGTATGTTGAATATAAGAGGATCAACATAAAATAAGGAAATTGGGAGAAGTACACCATAAACGTAGCTATGAAGATTTATTTTGCAAAAGTAATGCGTTCAAATTAATAATATGACCAACTACTGTAGAGAAATTACATTTGTGATAGTGAATCTGAACTCTGTTGGTAACCCCTTAATTTGAATTGAACCAGTGGTTCCTATCACACAGTTTTTCCACAATACATTGTTTTCTTGGAACATTATTATTGCGTTATAGGAGAAATGGCTGTAATCTATTTATTAATGTATTAAAGTGCTATATGGTATGCTAAATACTTCAGTTAGGATCTTGAGGGTAAAAGATACAGCAGAATTCTGTAGTATATATCTGCTCTTAACAACTTTTTAACAGTGCCATCTTATACAGTATTCTTATTTACTATGATATAATTTTGTGAAGACCTGTACATATCAAATTTTGTGTACAAAATTTGTCACACTCATCAGCTGTCCGAGTATGTTTGTTTTTCCTTGATGCTTCCCTCATTGCTGTTTCAATATTTACATTCATTTGCCTTATCTAAATAACTGATATGTTATCAAAGTCTTCAAATTTTGTGCTCTTCTACCATTTTACACTTTCACTTGTTTTGTTCTAGCGTTTATTTTCCTCCATGGAGAACATACTTAGCACAGCATTTACTGATTGGTTTGCATCATAAAAGGGTGACATTTTTGGTTCTTTTTTGTATATACTAAATGTTCTCCATTAAATTCTCCAATTTACAAACGACATTCGTGAGAGTGTGGCTCAACATCTTACTCGATTATCTTCATAAGAAGATGTAAGTTGTTATATTGTGTTTTATTTGAATAGTTTTTACATTCTAAGAAAATATATAAAAAGCACTTTCATTGCAGGGGAGTCCACCAGCTGTCAAACAGAAAGAAAGTTCTCTTATTCGAGAGTTCTTTGTATTTTACCTGTTATTCAAATCAATACACCCCTCTCCAATGGTAGTTTCATTTACTGCAAATTATGCTTTTGGAATGTCACCAATTACATTGCAGACCTCAAGTAACAACCTAACTCCTTCCCTGAGACATTCTTAACTTTTGCTTAATGGAAGGCATATTACACGTTATTATGCATTTGACTGACAAATAGGTAAAAGTCTCAACTTGTGTAACTTAAAAATGGTTAAATGTTCATGTTTATTCATATTCTCCATACTTAATTGAGTGATCAGATGGCAACTTCATGTGCAGCAATCTGCAGAGAACAGTGGTTCCAGCACTAGCAGTAGCGGCAGCAGCAGTAACTATGGTACCATTGGACGTGGTGGAATGGCGAGCATGTCAAGTATGATGGACGAGATGGCCAAGACTCTGGCAAGACGTAGAAAGGCCGTTGAGAAGAAAGAGCATCCTGATGCAGAACAGGTACATTGCAACTCAGAAGCGAATTTATTGCTGGATAACTTTGTAATATAGTGTTTCTTATACCTTGCTCATCGATTAGTGTTGATCCTTAAGTCTGCAGAGGATAATCAGAAATGGTTTTTTAGCCTAATTTTTTTTTTGTGGAACATAATAGATTTGTGAGGAGAAGAAGAAACAACGAAATGGTTTTTTAGCCTAATTTTTTTTAGCGGAACATAATAGATTTGTGAGAAGAAGAAGAAGAAGAAACAACAACAGCAGCAGTAGCAAAATAATAATAATAAAAGTTTCAGTTTGAAATTTGGATTCCACACATCCATATGAATTTAAGATTAGTTACACCTGTGAGATATATAGTATAGTTTTGTTTATCCTTGTTAATTGGGGGGGGGAGGTTGGTTATCATGACCTAGGTTTCTTATGGTTATTGTCATTCCTTGTAGGCAAATACTAGGATAAAAGAGTAAAAATAAATGTGCAAACCAATTAAATGATTACTCATCTATAAATGTGATTATGCTGTGTTACAAAGCCAGAATTTGTATAGATTATGTGTAATATTTATTTTCAGGAGGGAGACACAGGGCAGGACAAAAAACTGTGGGGAGACAAAACTAGCACAAATGGTAGCAAGTTTGGTAACAGTGGTGCCAGTGGTGGAGGAGGTAACGGGTCTGGCTCGGAGTCTCCGAAGCCATCTCGTAAGCGGTTTGGCTCAGCTAGTGAGGAACAGATACCGAAACTGAATGGTCTGCCAGATGGTGCCACATGTGTCACAGATTTAGACTCGCTCAAGCAAGAGATTCTCAAAGAAATGAGGAAGGAAATGGCAAAGTTGAAGCAGGACATCATTGATGGTAAGTAACAGCTACATTAAGGAAGTTATTTCAAGGTGGTAAATATATTAATATTATGGTCACATGACCTAAAATGTGCTTGTATTTTTTCCCCATTCGGATATGAAAAGAAGGTTGACGATGTCATATCGTGTTACTTTGGATTCTGTAGAGTAATTATATTTATTTATGAACTCACTTTGCTGCTTGTGGCTTACTCATCGCCCTGATGATGGAGGCAGTATGACCTCAGAAACGTTGGTAAACATCGACCAGACTACACGGCGCAACAACCCAGAAGACAGAAATCTTCATACTCACTGCTGTGAAAACCTCAAATCTTACATATCTTTGAGATGTTTAATTTTTACCAGACTACATCACGCTACAACTCAGAAGACAGACATCTTCAGCTTTATGCTTGTTCTTAAGGATCGATTACAGATCTTTATTCTCACAAATTGTTTTATCTCCTTTGCAGCTCTCAGGGTGGAGTTTGCCAGGAGATAATCCTTGACATGCTGAGTTCCTATGATGGAAATGTTGGTCTCAGTCGCTGGACATGGATTTAATGAAGAGACTGCTTCAGCCATAGTGCTGCAGGAAGAACCAACATTCCCATTGCATGCAACATTTTGGTTTCTGTTGTATTACTGTAATGTTTCCGGTTATGCCCAACTCTTTGTTAAAGGGCATGCAGAAAATGGATCTTAATTTAGTGTTCATGTTAGCAGAATGACAATATAGATATCTTAAAAATTAGATAAAAATATCTGGGAAGCTGGCACAATATTTGTGTTTATTTTATGATTAGGACTAACACTGTTGTATATCAATTGTGTAATCATTTGAAACTTTAGTCAGAACTGGCTGAGCAAAATCTGTGGTCTTTCCAAAAGCCCAATGGCGATAGTTTTAACACTACTGCTTCTAGAGGCTTTGATTCTGTGTACACATTGCGGATTGTTTTTGGTTGTGACGAGACATGACAACTTCAGTTTTGAGTGCTGGGTTCTGTTTGTTAAAATGGTGCAGAAATTGTTACAGAAGAAACATCTGTTACTCAAGGGCATTAATGTGTGGTGCATGTAGGCATCAGTTGTATAAAGGCTTGTGAGCATGGTTGATTTCATTATTTGAATATTATTTTTGACATTTTCCATTGTCTGTTGTAACATTTGACATATATGACATTTATGGAGTTGTCTCTACTTCCGTCTTTTGGTCATTGGTTGGCGCTGTGCTTACATGTTTGTTATTCATTTTTATTTTAGTATTACTGGTGATGGTGTTGATCAAACCCAGAACCTTTTAAATTGTAAACTTTTGTGCCAATTAGTATGAAACGGTAGTAACAGTTTTGTCGGTAGAGTAGAATACAATAAGAAAGGAGGTAGTTGGGGTGGTCGTGATGATTTTTTGAATCTCCAACAATATCACATCAGTATCCTTGCACCTTGAAACAACTGCAGTAGTTTACTGATCGAGTCTTTAAGATATTTCAGCCGGTAGTGAGCTCTGAATATAGTACCTGGGTCCTGGAAAGGACTCACACATTCAGGATAGGACTGTTATTGTTTCATTAATCTGTTAGTGTAATGACATTTGATTACCTGAGGATGGGAGTAAAACAAATTCCTGAAACATCTTGTTCATCAGATATTCCTCAGACAATAGGCAGTGTGAAACATAGTGTTCTCATAATGCATATGACATATTTCCAAATAATGAGCTTTGCATTTGATTGTAAAACTGGTGGGTGACTAGTGGAGAAATATAATGAAATTACAGTTTGTAACAGCTAGAACATTACAAATGCACAAAATACTTATTCTGCACAAATCTTTTGTTACGTTTTTTGGGATTGTCCTTTATGCTTGTAATGGCAGAAAAGTGCTTCAGTTTATACATGAACATACAGTTGCGAAATGGATGAAATTTTATTTAACTTAAAATGAAGTGTCAATAGCATATAAAATATATTTTAAAACACTTTTACTTTAATTTTTATTGCATGAATGGTTTTTAATATAATTTTAGAGTGTATGTAAATATTAAAATCTTTTTACTGTATTTATTACTGTAAACAAAATGCACATTTTTATATTTATTTTATTGAGCACAAAAGTCTGAGTGTGAATTTATGTTGAAGTGACAAAGTTTATAAAATTTTGACCAACAGAGGGACTATTCTGTTCAGTTTTTCTACAGGCATAGCATTGTACATAGAGCTGCTTGTTCAGAGGGCTTCAGCTATATTATTATAATAATACTTGTAACTGCGAGACAGTAGCTGTAGGAAAACATTTGTCTTTAATGTAGTGCTGTTTACCCTTACATTGTGAGGGTGGGGGGGTGCCATCTATATCATGTACACTGCTATTGTGATATAATTTCTAGTTGGATTGATTTAATTATTTTTACTATTATATTTATGTCAAGCGATTGGCATCCCACCTGTATTTACTAAAGTGTGACCCTCCCCAAACCAAAATACATCGAACCCTTACCTCTCCTGCGTATCCTCCTCAAAACATGTATTTTAATGTGAATATTCACCCATTTTCCACATGGATAAATCTGAATTTTCTTAACTCTTTCGCTGCATAATTTTTGTTTGTACAAAGTGTTTTGTTACATAAATAAATCTGAAAAACTTTTTTTTCATTTACTTTATTTTGTAGACTACTTTCCAGCCTTACATTCATTCTGATATTTAGAATCTGCAAATAAGAGTTCATAATGTCATCTGCAATTTATGTCTAAAAATGCCATGGCTACCATTTAATAATATGACAGTGCTATATACAACATGGTACAATTTAAAAAAAAAATTGTGGAAAAAATTATATTTAATATAGGCAAAAGCTTCTGCATGTTGTCAACGGTTGTCCTGTCCTGTCTTGTCCCAGAAAAAAGGCTGCTGCATGTATGCGCAGGGCTGCAATAATGCGAGTTCTGTGGTATCTAGCTGTCATAATTCCTTGCATTATCACAAGTTCCGCAGTGAAAGAGTTAAACAGTTTTAATTTTAAGATCAACCAGGCCTACTCCTTCTCTCTTGAAGGTTCTTGCCTGCCTGACAAGTAGCCATTTATATATGTTGCAATGCATTCTTTTAAAGACTGCCACATTGATGAATGTAAAATGCAACTTTTTTTTTAAATATGACAATTTGAAATTTTTATCAAATGACACATTCTGATGCATTCATTCATTCGTTCATTCCGTAATATTTATAGTTGAGTTAGTTGAATTACAGTATTTATTTCCATTTAGTTGACATTTATATATGTATTTTACTGGCCTTGAAATCTGCTCAAGATTATGTAATTGGGATACTGCGTCTTGAATAATTTGGGCTTCATATCATAATATGTGTATGATATAGACAATGTATGTATTGTAAACCCATAGGGATGTGAGTTGCTGATATAAAGTTCAAGGAAGGGAGATTTTAACAAGAAATGATATTAAAAACCATTAAATAGGTAATACAAAAGGAAGATTTCTGTAAGTGATGTGATCTCACATTCTCAAATATATAATATTATATATTGTGTCTTTACAAATATTATGTACAGGAAAAGTGGTGATTATATCCTAAAATCTAGACGCCAGTCCTCATGTGTAATATGTAGTGTGTAATTTTCCAATATTACATTGAAATTATAAATGTATATTTAATAGTTTTTAATTGAGTATTGTATATGCCATACATTTTGTCTTTTTGCATTGTATTTTGAATAAACTTCTGAAATGCTTTGTTTTCTTTTTAATAATTTGATTACTGCTTTTGGCATGGTGTGTGACAGTAAAAGTATTTGAAATATTTACTATATTTTGTATGCACACTTTTGATTGGAAGAAAAGGCACTGTGGAAAGTAATATACTTCATTTGGCTGAACATATAGTGCACATTTTCCCCTTCAAATACCTTCTAAAAATCTGGCTGTTTATTATACCCATACTTGTTAAATTCAAACTAAATTTCAACAGTGTTTTATGGATGAAAATCAGTAGTGTTGCAGTGAAAGAAGTGGATTCATATATACAAGATGATTCAGGAGTAGTAGTTCTGAAATTCATGAGTATATGAATCATGTGATTTTGAGTGAAGATGTCCTGTTAACATTGTTGTGATTGGGAGAGGGTGAGGGGTCATAGTTTGAAAGTAAGGTAGATGTAACAGAAGTAAGGGTTGTAATGAAAAGTGTCATAGTAACTTCAGTGCCATCCTGGAAGTGTTATTTAATAATGAAATACAGAATGTGAGAAATACAAACCTCCCCCACCTCTATTATGGTTAGAATTCACATTAAGCTGTAGTCCCCTCTGCTAACCATCCCCACCCTATTATTTGAAACTAATTTAGTCCTGCTCGAAAGTAGGTTCCATCACCATTATCAGGAGAGAAGAGGAAATACAGGTTAAAAGACATTAACTGGATGCAGAAAATAAAATGTTTCCATTCACATCATGTTCCTTAATTATAATTAAATACACTTAATATTCAGGATTCTGATAGACATTACACAGTATATAAGGCTCACATAATTTATACAAATCTAAGCTTAATGTTGCATATCTTCATAACTATTAAAATGGGCTTCAGAAGTTCACCTCTTGAAGTCCAGGTTTGTGTGGGTCTTTGGGAGTTTATTGTTCAAGTTTCATTATCTGTATCAGGTTTCAAAAAGTTTATGTTAGAATTATTCAAGAATCAAAGTGACCTGTTAAAGGTTACATTGTAAGCTAGTGTTGAATTGATTTTCAAATGTTTATTGTTACGGTACCAAGAACTGTATCTTCATGAAACCTCTGTAGGTTTGTTTCAACACCAAGAATGGTATCTCCATTAACTGTCTACATGATTTTCAAGAACTTCTTCCTGGATAATTTAGAGCTCCAAATGCCAGTCCTCATAAATTTAAGTAGAATGTTTAATAACTTCAAGTTGGAGATCTGCAAGGATTATGTGAATGTCCAAGAGCTCACTAATAGACTTAGAGAATCTTCAAGCATTCAGTGGCACAATATATTGTAAGCAGATCACTGTAAGGTATGTACATCTGTAGTTTACAAAGCACTAAATGAATTTCTAAAATCATCGTAAAATTATAATACTTATTTTTTGATGTCTTTATTAGTAAAGTGAATACCCAGAAACTATTCTTTAGTTAAATCACTGCCAGTGACCTTAGTTGTATGGATCTTTATGAATTCACTTAGCTGTTTGTATTTATTTCCATGAACTCTGTATTTAGACACTGATGTTCAGCTGAAAAGGGAGACTTCTGAAGACATTCTTCATGAATTAATGGATAAAATCTTTTAGAGTACAATGCCAAATTATTTATGAGCTGATAGTACTTATAGAATCAAGTCTGAGTTCCAGTAGCTCCCCCCCATTGGTAGTTGCAGTAATTGGATGTGCAAGGCTTGATGTGTGAATAGGTGTTATGTCAGGGGACAAAAGTGGTTCAATATCACAAGTCTTGTTGTCAGGCTGTTCCTCTTGTAATATCAGCAATGGAGGCAGCACTATAGATGAATATATGTACAGGAACCAATTCTGAGAATGAAAAAAAAAATCATTTTTTTATATTTAGAAAACTTAGATCACTTTTGAATCTGTTCAGTTTTATATTGTGTGTACATAATAATCAGTAGAAGACAGTCATCTTTATTCATATAAAATACAGGGAGAGGATTCATATTTCCTACATACACAGTATGTAGGAAAATTTTTCCAGATTGATTTAATAACCCATGACACGCTGAATCCATCTGTTGAGTAACACTATTACTACACATTTAAGGTTCCTGTTATAATTTGTCTCAGTCTGAAGTCAGCAAGATTCGTATTATACAAGTTATTGCAGTATTAATGATAGACCTTTGTCGGGCTCGTTGACAAAAAAAAAAATGGAACAAAGAGCGAATAACAAATTATGTTTAAAATTAGGGAAATGAGCTTTGGAAACATATCAGATGCTGAAACAAGTGTATGGCGATGATACTTTAGCTTGTTCAAGTGTTGAGTGGTTTAATCGATTTCGAAATGGCAGGGAAAATCTGGATGACAGCGAACACACTGGTCGGCCAAGAACCAATCACGCAAAGGAACAAATTGAGAAGGTACGCGAAATCTTTAAATATGATCGTTTTGTGTCCATGTGACTTATCGAGGAACTCACTGGTATCCGTAAAAGTACAGTTTATCGAATATTGACCAGATGATTTGAAGAAGAAAAAGGTCTGTGCGTGGTTCGTCCTACATTCATTGATTGATGATAAAAAAAAAAAGAAAAAAAAAGAGTGGAACATTCGAGGGACATGATTTCAGCGGGAGATATCGATCAAAATTTCTTGAAAACTGTTGTTACGGGAGATGAAACGTGATGTTTTCATTGTAAATATTTCAATAATAGTCTAAATCTTTGTTACTATTTTTTTTGTTTTGTTGTGAAATGTGGCCTCTTACTGTGAGTGAATAATATAAATTACGAATCACTGAAAACAGAGTGTTCAAAAAGATGTCTGGACTTTAAACAGAGCAAGAAAATGAGGACTGTTTATTACATAATGAGAAGCTTAATTATTTGTATAACTTGTGTGGTATTATTAGAACTGTCGAAACCAGAAGGCTGTAGTGGGCTGAACCTGTAACTCAGGTGAAGGAAACAATAAATATACAAAGTATTTTAGTGGACAAACTCTTGGGAAGTAACCACTTAGAAGACCAAGAAGGAAGTTGGACAGTAATATGAGATGAATATGTGAACACTTGATTTGACTGAGGATTGTAATATAACAGAAGATTTTTGTATTACTAATGTTAAACCTTCAGCTGTTATTGCCAGACAGTTAACCAGTCACTTAACAAATCAGTGAATGTTAATTACCATTAGGAAATCTCAACATTTATTTAATTTTTAAATCACTGAAACATGTGATTAAACCATATGGTGACTGCTTTCAACTAGTGTTTCAGCTAAATATTTAAAACTAGGAAACCTGTTTCGACTGTAGAGCACTTGATTAAGTTTTTAATCATGATGCATTTTACATGATAAAGGTTTACTTCTAAAGCTTTAATGTGGCTTACAAGAAAGATGTCAGCAGCAGCAAATAACACTGGAAAGAAAAGTGTTGCCGAGTTCTCGAAAGCCAATACACCGAGGAACCACGTCACTGCAAACAATGGGAGCAGCATGGCTGCTGAGCGCAAAGACTTGCGCAGCATCTCTTCAATGGTGTTGATGTTTTCTAGCAAGCAGAGTTTGTGGCTGACATCACATCGTGACAGCATTCTGAGCCCCAGCACCGACAAGATAGTATTTGCCTTAACAAAACGACAATATTCGTGAATAATTAATTTTCATCTTATGATATGTAATGCAGGCAGTGTAATGTAATCTAAACACAACTTGTACAACTCAAGTCTTTTTAACATTTTAAAAGCATGTTACAGTATAATTAAGTAACCTAAGAATTGATAAATCATGTTTCAGGCAGACATGTTCTTGTACTTTTAACAAAGGTCATCAATACGTGTATCACCATGATGTTACCCAATACTTTTTCTTCTCCTAATGTTAAAATATTCTGGTCTGTTAGCAAATAATCTCCTGAGGCATCCTATATTGTTCGCAGCACTTCTGAATTTGTAAATCTAATTTTGTATATAACTACAAAAGTAGATAAGATCACATTGAGGTTTATGTTTCATGTCCAAAATGGCAAGCGAGTAATATGATTATGAGGATTCATTGTAGAATGTCATAGCAGTCTCTGTACAATGAAAATTTTTTCCAAACTCTAACATTATCACACACCCATGAAATAAAGGATTTCTGATGTATTCTGTAACAGACTATGTTTTGAAGGGGGACACAATTTTGATTATGTAAGAATTTTTTTTAACACTATTTCTGCTATTAACAGGATATAAGCTATAATTAGTTCTTCCTTGTTTATCTCTGGCACATGGCATTATCAGTGAAAAGAATGTTGTCCTGAGATCTTCATGCCTGCTACTTTAAGCCAACCATCTGCACCCACAAAACGAAAGAGTTACTATGAAAATATTTGTTATTTCTGATAAATCTTAGCTTGGGGTGAATTAATAGATTTATTATTTTTAAAAGTTTTCAAAGAATAACTTACTGCACTTGGAAACTTAAGGCTCTTATGTTTAATTGGTGCCGTATGACCTTTAGTAGGGCTCTGAATTTAAGTAAACTGTATTGTTAGTCACCTTCCTTTGATCTGGCACTGCATAAGAAATAAAAAGTATTTTGGGAAGGTGTGAAGAGCAAAACTGAAGAAACTTAAGTTTTTTTAAGGTAATCTACCTAGGAAACAAGAACACTTGGTGTTAGTGGCGTGTTAACAACAGATAACTATTTTGTAAATGATCATGTCTTGGATTTGTCATCACAGAAACCTACCAAGATGAGGGAAGCAACTGGGGTCATGTACGACAGCAACATCCCCCTCTCAACAGACATCCAGCAGTAGTGGCGAGTCTCATAGCCACGTGGATTCACTGTGTAGCATACCTGTATTGCAGAAAGCACAAATATACGTATAAATTTGGAATGTATTAATAATACCATGTTGAATGGGTCATTTTTATTATATTACATTGAATTCACTGGTTGAAGATTGAATTGCATGTTTATTGAGTTAGAGAATATTACGAAACAATATGGAACACATACCAGTACATCCAGAAAGGACACAATATCTGTTACATTGTTTTAAATATTTTGGTAATGTAAATGCTAGTGTTCTTCAATCTTACATCCATGTTTGGAATACAATAACGAGAACAAGGACATTAAATTTCTAATTGGGAAGTGTTTCGAGATAAGATTCAGTTACTTACCAGTACATGTATTGCAGGTAGGAGCCAGGCTAGGGTGAAGTGAAGACACAATCCTGAAGGACAAGGGCCCTCATTGAGGCGTCGATATGCCAGTAAACCTACTGAGAACAACCAGCAACTTGCAACTAGGTGCAGATAATGCAGCAGCAGTGCTACACTTTCACACCAATGCTGTTTTCCAGTGGCCTGTATGTGCAGGTGAGGTAACTGTTAGCCTTAGATTTGGGTCCTGTGTTAAACCTTGTTTAGAATTCTAACAATTTCATTTCAGTTTACTGTTGAAATGTATCCAGCAGTTTTAACATTTTAAAATACTGTGTAAGTAAATTGAAATTGAACATGTTCAAGTGATAGAGACTCACAAGTAAAAAGATAAAAATAAGTTTTTTAAAATACTGTGTAAGTAAATTGAAACTGAACATGGTGGTATGTTACATGTTCAAGTAATAGAGACTCACAAGTAAAAACATAAAATAAGTTGGTTGTGGTGATTTGTCATGTATAAAAGTAAATAGACCTCAGAGATATAAGTTTGAATCAATGGTAATATATAGTATAAAAGTAAATAGACCTCAGAGATACAAGTTTGAATCGATGGTAATATATGTCTAAGTATTAAAATAGGCCACTTACAGATGGTGTGGAAATTGTGTCGACTAATTCATTAATATGAGAGGCAGGTATCTGATAATGTTAAAATTAATTAATAAAATAGCCAAACATCCATAAAATGCATATTTGACAATATATTTTATACCTGAAATAATCAGTGGATTTAGATTATATATGGTATTCGAAAAATCTATGCTGAAAGGTGTTGAGCAAATTTGATTCTGGTTCATGTCAGACTTTTAAGACACATACTTCATATAGAGCTTGAACTGAGCTTTATAGGTTTCTCAGGAATGGCTGATTGTGTAAAAAAAGATTGACGTAAGACACAAATATACAGAGCTTACTATGTGTATTTAAAATATTTCGGATATAATGAATATTTAATGTAATTCATAAAACAATAATGTATAATGTTCTTTTGTGTATGGGGAAATCAGCAGTGCAATTAGCTGTGCAACGGTAATTTGTATCTGCAGCAAATGAACATTAAGGTGAATGAAGTAAACGAAGAACAAAAATTCATTTTAAAATGATGTGCGCTCCAGATAGGATACACTTTCCACTCTTGTTTGTCTTCGGACCAATGAGATTGGTCATCCTTTAAGTAGTTAAAGAACTTGATTTAAGTCTATTGAAAATGTTACAGTACATTACAATTAAATATTCTTCAGAGATCGCTACTTCATGGTATATAAGCAAAGTGCGTGTGAACTGGATATGCATTCCTGGTAATGACATACATATAAACAGACCCATGCACGAAGATGAAGATACAGTGACATTTTTCCACTGACAAAATAAACTCTGTGTGCTAAAGTGTATGCTATATGTTGTTTTAACATGCATTTCTAGTGATTATATGCGCATGTACAGACCTGGGCACTAATCATCAAGATGAAGTTACAAGCAGATAAGGACAGTTCTGTGTTTATAAAAATAAAAGTTGCAGGATCATGTGAGTTGGAGCGTAATCTGCGTAGAATGGTTGCCAGGGACAAGAACTGAGCTACCAGAGAGATGGCAGCTCCAATAATCAGTATCTGCAACAATATGATGACATTTAGTAGTTCTTTATATCTGAAGATATCCGTCTTCTGGGTTATTGCGCTGTGTAGTCTGGTCGATGTTAACCAACGTTTCAGAGGTCATACTGCCTCCGTCATCAGGGCAACCAACGTTTCAGAGGTCATACTGCCTCCGTCATCAGGGCAACCAACGTTTCAGAGGTCATACTGCCTCCGTCATCAGGGCAACCAACGTTTCAGAGGTCATACTGCCTCCGTCATCAGGGCAACCAACGTTTCAGAGGTCATACTGCCTCCGTCATCAGGGCAACCAACGTTTCAGAGGTCATACTGCCTCCGTCATCAGGGCAACCAACGTTTCAGAGGTCATACTGCCTCCGTCATCAGGGCAACCAACGTTTCAGAGGTCATACTGCCTCCGTCATCAGGGCGATCGCCCTGGTGG